CCAGCGCCACTCTGGCGTAACTCCCTGTCAACTCGCCGGGGGTCTCTCGCTCAGCCTGGACGTTGACAAAGCTTTTGACTCGCTGCCAAGAGAACAGCTTGTGACTTCAATGCAGGCAGCTGACCTGACATCAGAAGAGGTAGCGCTTGCGCTCCACATCCACGACCAGGCCAAGCTCACCTTCGAGCTGGCAGGGCACAAAGACGAGGTCGAGCTCTCACAGGGCATCCGTCAGGGCTGCGGTCTTTCGCCCCTCTTGTGGTCTATGGCAACCACAAAGCTCTACCTAAAGTTCAAAGAAACAATCACCCAAAAGAAGGAGATATTGGGAGAGCCCACCCTCTATGCCGATGATATCTGGTCCTCCTGGACCATAAGGACACAGGAACAATTCCGTTCCAGTCTGCGCGCGGCAGGCATACTGATCCAGCTCCTCCACGAAGCAGGCCTCCGAGTGTCGCCCACGAAAACTGTCTTCCTGCTCAATCTCCAAGGTACTGCGGCCAGGAGCACTCTTCGCCCCAGACTCGCCAAGCTGGAAACAGGCGAACCCGCAATAAAGCTTCGCGTAGGCCAAACTCCTATGCTCATCAAGATAGTAGACGCCCATACCTACCTTGGAGCCAGAGTTGCCTACCAGAACCACGAAGCTCTCAACCTGCAGCACCGACTGCACCTTGGCTGGCAGGCCTACTGGCGACTGGCCAAGGTCCTCCGCTGTCGAGCGCTGACCTTAGACAGCAAAATCCGCGTCTGGAAGACATGTGTCTACCCGGTCGTCCTTTACTCCCTGGAGGCCACAGGCATCACCTACCACTCCCGCACCCTCCTCTCTCAGTTCGTCCACGCCCAGCTCCGCCTCATCCATAAATTACCGGGCCACATCACCAAAGTTACCTCCCACGACCTACTCCTCAGAAGCCAACTCGACCCGCCAGGCGACACCCTTGACCAGCGGATCCAAAGACATCTCCAACAAGACCCGGAGTTTCCAACTGAGGCGCAGGAAACCTGGTTCGATCTGCTGCAGGACTACTCGACGACGCCTGCTGTCTCTGCATCCGACCCTTCTGCCTCTATGCCCCCTTCTCGGGGAGGCTCTACTCGTGCCCACCTCAAGCCCATCAGCACCGTTCTCAGCTACCGGCCACTCAACTGCCCAATCTGCGGAGTTGGTTATAGCACCCTTCAGGCCGTCCGTCTCCACATGCGGAAGTCCCATCACGCTCAAGTGCGACAGGCACCTGCCTCATCGGACTTGCGCCCACCTCCTGCTCAGGCTCCGGACCCAGATCACGCCTCCTCTACTCCAGTCGTCACGATGGACCCAGATGCTACCACGGCCCCGGCCTCGCTACCTGACTTCGCGGCAGATGAACATGCTCTGTTCGTTTGGCAGCATGGTCGAGAAGGTCTACCACAATGCCGACACTGCCTCCGACAATGTGATTCGTGGCATAACTTACGACTACACATCTCCACCAAATCCTGCCGAACTTTGGTCCCAGACGGCTTTAACGCCCTACCCCCAAAACACAATCTCAACCCGACTCCCCTGTACCACAGATCTGAATGTCAGCTCCACCTAGTCGGAAGTTGGGAAAGGCTCGCCTCTTGGCTGAAAAAGATGCTCCCCCAGGCAGTCCATCACTGCCCGTACTGTCACCAGTGGCTGACCCAAGCGCGTGGCCTCCGAGCTCATATTAAAGCTAAACACTCCCCAATGATCCCTTGCTGTGAGGAAGCCGTCCAACGTATGCAGTCTCATCGCAGGCTTTTGGCCCTTGGTAGCACCTGTCGCTACTGCAGCCTCTCCTTAACAGGAGCGCCTATCAAGCACGCCACTGAGTGTGCAGTCCTGTTCCTGGTTCATTTGCTGCAGGCCACGCATGCGCTACATCACTCGAACCGCCTGCCTCAGGTCCGAGATGACTCTCCCCTCGATGTTCAATGCGCACCAGGTGAGCCCGGAAGACCTAGAGGAAGCCACTCAGGAGCTCAAGAGCATCGAAGCGCAGGTCCGGCTGATACCCAAGCAGCCTCAGCCCCTGGTGGCCCCGACGACACTGATGAGCGAACCCCCACCACAGGGAGACATGCCGGACTCCTCGAACCCTCCATCGACGGACGTCCCCGACAGACCCTCCAAATGGCAGAGGGACAACAGCAAAGGAGCCACCCAACCAGGCAAGGGCAAGGGCTCAACAGGCCGCGGAGCCCAGGGCCAACAGAACCCTGCCAACCGCCCTCCACCTCAGGGAGGACCGCCAAGGCGTCAAGGGGGGCGTCCATCCGGATACCACCCCCAACCCCCATGGCAGCGACAAGGACCGGGCTACGGGCCTTCTTCAGGTCCCGACCTCACTCTCATGTGCCACACCATGGCCAGACTCCTCATGAGACACGAGGACGCTCTCTCAGTCCTACAGCAATCCACCACCTGGATCCTCTTCCTCACGACTCAGCCCCCGGGCACTGTCCTCCCCAAGCTGTTCGCCACAGCCCAAGGATGGCACGAGCTGCGGTGGAACGACCCGGAATCCGTCACCCATCCGATGCGCATCATTCTGTGGCAGAAACTGATGCTCGAGCTGTCTCAGCGAGCCCAGAAAGTCATCGACCAGGAGGATGCCCGAGACCAGGCAATCCAAATGGAGCTCTACAACCCGACCACGGGGTTCGGCTACCGCAAATGGAACAACAAGGAGGGCGTGATGCAGCCCATTCCCGATCGCGAACCGCTCTCGGCGCAGAAAGTGGTGGAGATTGCAAAGGAGCTGGCGACGCTGAGCGTACAACCGCAGCTGCTCAACCGGTTCCATGCAACTCGTCAGCTGGAGGAGAAAATGGAAGGCAGCACAGTGACCTGGCTATTGGAAGTGGGCTGGAGGGGCGAGCAAACGGCTCGCTTCTGGGAGCTGCTCCAGCTCCTTTCACACAACTCCTCCCTCCTAATGATCGGTTGCACCCTTCGTCCGGATCGCGTCCAGAGATCAGCCTTGGCCCAACAGCTGCAGACCCTCCTCCAGTCCATGCACATCCCTATGCCGAGACAGCCGCCGAGACCTCAGCCCTGCTCCCGACATTGCAGCTTCGCAATCCTTCCAACTACTGTTACTCCCATGCCTGCCTTTTTACTTATCTTTGGCTTGTGTCCCAAACCCCCTCCTCCTTTCAGGTACTGGACAGGGAACCGCTGAAGAGCTTCATCGCCCAGGCACGCAAACAACAGCCAGTGACACTCTGGTCGCTCCTCCCGTGGAGGCAGGCAATGCGACGCTGGTCCAATCCAGCCAGGCAACATGATGCAGCGGACTTCCTCCTTCACCTACACCAAGTCCTCAATGCGCCCTGCTTCCAGGGCCTCTGGCAGTCCTTTGACGACAGCCACATGCTTCAGGATGAAGGCGGGGTCTGCCCACTCATACTTTCCGGTATGCAAGACGCCTCTAGCACAATTGCCGCCACTGCTCAGTCCTGCATCAATCGCTGGCATTCGCAGAAACGTCGCCACGCCCTGATTGCAGGCACTGAAGCTGTGGCTGTACAGCTCAACCGTTTTCGCAATGAACGGGGCATTGCATCCAAATGTGACCATCGCATAGATGCTGATCCAGAGGTCCTTTTCCCACAATGGACTCCCTCATCCCCTGAAGGTATCATTTGGAGAACGTATCAGCTTCAGGCGATTGTCCAGCATATAGGACCGACCACGGTCAGTGGGCACTACCGTGCTGCACTCAAACCTCGTTCAGGCACAGCGAACGTGTGGCATCACACTGACGACAACAGTCCTGCGCAATCGGTCACTCCAGATGCCCTGTCCACCTCCAATTACATCCTTGTGTACCGAATGAGGAGTGCTGCAACCTCAGCATAGGCCCTTCGGGGCAGAGTAGCTACGTAGCTAGATGAGTCGATCCAACTGTGATCGAGCGCCACAGTGCGCCGGTTGACACCGCTCGAGTCATCGCAATGCGACCTCACCGTCCGCAGCGAGTGTGATGATACTACTACTACTATAGATTACTACTACTCCTACTAACTTCTACCACGTGCTAGTCATTACTACTACCACCAGTAGATCCATATTTTGTTTTGATCCGTCACCCCTCGTTTAGAAGCCGAAAGGCCCCCATAGTTCTTGAGTGTAGAATGTGGGGGGAGCTGCGCCCCGCCCAACCCCCTCGCTTTGCTGCTGCTACGACCAGCACTGCTACTGCGACGACTACTACCAGAACTGCGACCACGAGTATGTCACCATGGTCCCCCTGGGTAGAATGCCACATGTAGACTACTGCTATTACTTCTACTATTATTACTGCTACTACTACTGCTACTGCTTCTATTACTCTTACTACTCGTACTATTACTACTAGTACTACTACTACCACCACTACTACCACTACGACGACTGCTACTGCTACTGCTACTGCTACTACTACTGCTACTACCACCACTTCTACCACTACTGCTACTACTACTACAACTACCACCACTACTACTACTACTACGACTACTACTACTACTACTACTACTATCGCGAACTAGTACTACTACCACCAGTAGATCCATAGATATTTTTGATCCGTCACTAGTTTTTTGCGTGACTCTTTGGCGGAAGTATTGATTTCACCTTTTTGATGCTGTTTTTAATGTTTTGGATCCTTGTGCTTTATTTTTTGATTCAAATTTTAGTTTTTTGATCCGTCACCCTCGATTACCCCTTGTTTTTTGTGTGATTCTGTGGCGGAAGTACTGATTTAATTTTTTTCGATCCTGTTTTTTATATTTTTATTTCGATCCTTGTGCGAAAATTTGAAGATCCAAAATTAAATTTTTTTGATCCGACACCCAGCTTGGGAGGGCAAGGTGCGCGCTTTGTTGTTGCAAGCTTTTGCTTCACAACATGATTTGTGCCGTTGCATGTGTTGCATATTGTAACTCCTGTTTCCAAGTTTCTTGAAAGTAGTTTCTGGGACGAGGGTGGCCGGGCAGCCATGGCTGATGTGCACATTTATTTCGGTCGCAGCCTGAGCCGAGCGTCTGGCAACATTGGCACGTGTCCAAGACATACATGTGGTTTGTCCAAGGATCGCAATCAGGCACCGCGGAAAGCTTCAGTGAAGAGTTGCAGGAAGAGGCTGGCTTCGTCGCCATACCCAGTGTCTTGCTCTTGGCAACCATCGCACAAAGGCTGACAAGTACGGAATCAAAGCCGAGGACCGCGTGTCTGTGGAAGCTGTGCAGCGAAGCTTCATGTACTGCGTGTTGTATACCAGGTTCGGGATCTGCAAACGTTTACTCCGGAGGCCCTCTTGGTCTTGTTTTTGCGCGCATATGGCACATGGCACAGCATTGTGCTCTTGCCTACAATAGTGCTTAGACAGAGTTTGTAGCTTGTCACAACTGGCTCCATCTTGGAACCAGAGATGTCCACTTAAGCTTCACGCCCCGCCTCACGCAGGGGTTTGCCGCGAGCAACATCGTGATCTTGGTGGTTGCCACCTATGGTGATGGAGAACCTACGGAGTGCATGGGGCCAGCGGTTTCGGATAATCTCAGAGTAGAGCGACAGCAGGGAGATGCCGAGAACATGGAGCAATTTCGTTGTTGATTGGCATTTCGTCCACGCTTGTCACTGTGCAGGACAATGCTGTGGCTTTCCATCGTTGGGTTTCTAATCCTAAGAACGATGGGGCGCTGAAAGGCCAGCGCTTCACGGTACTTGTGCTGCAAATGTTGAGAGCATTTGCAGTGACAGCGAACTGTTCAAGTCGGAATTCCCTTGTATCGTGGCACCGAGGTCATGGGCCTGGGCGACATGAACTATTCTCGTTTTAATAACATGGGCCAGCTGACAGATACGCATTTGGATGCTCACCTGCATCGAGAAGTCATTACCCTGCAGCGAGGTAGCATAGCCTAACCCCCCCGCTTCACACATGTGCATGCCAGGAGCGCATGGGAGGAACACGCATCTACAAGAGAGGTGTGGGAGATGACAGACACTTGCATGACAATTATTGGCGTTCCAACCCCACGTTCCGGCTTTGCTGTTGTGCTTGCAAGGCCAAGACATCGTTTCCGATTTTGAGAAATGGAGGGAGGGCGGCCTCTGGGAGAACCTGAAGAAAGCAGTCGCAGAGGTGAAGAAAGAAGGCCGGACAGTCTTTCTGCAAGCAACATGCATCGGTTCCATCACGCTCAGATAACTCAAAGTCACGTGGCAGGTCGTTGCGTCTCCTTGGGCGAGTCGCGGCCGAACTCTGCAGCACTGGAAAAGGCCATGGGCCATCATGTTAGTACCAATCCACAGACAAGACATTCTAATCAAGTACAGGGGAGTTGCATTCAGCCGGCTGCATGGCATCGGTTGGTCTTCTCACGTTCTGCGTTGGTGGCATGCACTTTATACATATTGTTATTAAGTCCCCAAAAAGCCCCACGGCAAGCGAGAATGGGATCGACTCTCCGTGTCAGCCCCTGGGTTCGGCGGTGCTGTCCATCGTTCGCGCAAGTGCAGAGCTTCCTGCCGAACCAGATTCCGCCACTTGGAAGCGGTCTTGCTCTGTTTTGGGATAGGTCGGGACTGGCTCGGGATGCAGGGTGTCGAATTTCGGTTTGCATGGGTTTCGGCCATGGAAGACTCCTGGAACAGCAGCGTTGATAGCGTAGAGCTCAGAAGCAATCACGACAAGTGTCCCTGATGCTAGGAACCGTCGGAAGTGGCTGCCCGATTCTATTTCGAAGCGGAGAAGTGCACGGTTGCCAAGGTACCAAAGTCATCGCATGTAGCGGGTTGACGCATTGTGGCGGTGGTCGCAGACCTGACAGTAGGAAGTGGACCAGGAGGTGGAGGGACCCAACGGACAGTCTTGGTTTGCCTTACGAGATCTTCCGAACTCTATGGGGGTATGTATGGAAGGTGCGAGAGCTGCGGCAGCACCGAAGCCTGGAAGAAGGCCTCTCAACCATGGAGGTCGAGCTCGAGGCCGTGCAATGAGCTCGAAATCCTCATTTGGCCGGCTGATGTTTTTCCGATCATGTGCAGCCCGCGTTGTTACAGTTGGTGACTTCTCGTTCGGACCTGGCAGCCAGTCTGTTCCTTGCACATGCTGTGAGCCCTGCGAGGCTTCCGATGCACTCCAGAAATACACTGCAGGCGGGACATTGGCCATGCTCCCTCGCAATGCGCAGCGTGCAGGCTGCATATTTGGAAGTTCCTAGCCTGCCTTCCCCACCACTGATGGCGATGATGATGATGATGGTCCTGACTGTGGTGATTGTGGTCTTAGTGGTGGGATGCTTGCAGTGGTTGTTGAACTGTTGTTTTTGTCGTTGTGGTGGTGGAGGTGGTGGCTGTGGCAGTTGCTGTTGCGGTGGTTTCAGCGGTTGTGCTGCTGCTGCTGTAGTGCCTATGATCAAGTGTAGTATCTGTTCTTATCAGTGTGACAACTGATATGTCTCCAACTGGAGACTTGCTTGTCACATCTATTTTTGCTAGCCGCCACGGCTCAGACGTTTTGGAAGTTTCGTGCTGGCTTTCGAACAGGCTCTGGATTCCAACCTTGCGTTGCTAGAGGTCTCAAACAGGCCTCTCTCCGAACGACTAAGGGTTGGTTCCTCACGCTGAGCCATGTGCCATGTGCCAACAGTTTGCGTCTGAGCCGCCAGGTCCCAATTCCTGGACCTAGTACCCTGTCTCAACACGGGCCCACTGGGCAGGCGGTAGGGTTTCCACTAGCCGCGTGGTGGAGGGAGTCACTCGGCTTGCCTTGTGACGAAATAGCGGATGGCGCTGCTCCCAGTGCACTCACAAAATTATTCTCAGATCAGGAAGAATTCTTTCAAGCATGTTTGCCGACAGGTGGCTGCAAGCCAGCAGCCTGTTTCTTACCGAGGTCAGGTTCTGACCCCAGCTCTTCTCAGGCGCATGGGCAACTGCCCACCGCAGCCGGGCTCCAAGCAGTCTTTTGCACCACGATCTCGGGCAGGACAGGCCACCAGGCCTCTCCGAGTACTGTCCTGGAATGCAGGCCATCTTGGCCAGCAACAATGGTCGGAAGTCAAATCATGGCTCTCCACTGAGGCACACCACACCTGTGATGTGTTCGTCCTGCAGGAGACCCACTGGCAGGCTACGGCCGAATTTAGTGTTGCAGGCTGGTACTGCATCTCGTCTGCTTCTGCTGCAGATCCGAAGGCCTCTAGACGAAAGCAACGCGGGGGCAAGGCCCATAAACAGTCACCTGCAGAGGCAATGCCTAATGACGATAAGATGACCCCACCCCGCAAGGAGCCCTCAACAACTCGCGCGGACGGGGTTATGGTTTTCCTGTCCCCACACATACTGCCCAAAAGTGTGCGCTGGCAGGAACATGTCATAGGCAGAGCCCTGGAGGTCAGGTTTGACTGGCACGGGGCCCGCATCAACCTGGTTGCTGTGTATCAACACGTCTGGTCACCGGCCAAGCAGGTACAGACCAATCGTCAGGACAGAGCACATGTCCTGAAGGCTCTTAGCAGATGCGTGCAACGCGTGCCGCACAGGGACACGCTTATCCTGGCAGGAGATTTCAATAGTTCCTTGCAAAAGCAGCCTAGGCTGGTTGGTCCAGAGATCATTAGCCCACAGGAACCGAGATCTGATGAGCCAGAGCTTACCAACTTTCTGCTTAATCATCGCTTGGTTGCCCTCAACACGTGGAGGCCTCAGCCGCCACATACGTTTCAGCAAGGGGATACGCGCACTCAAATTGACTTTGTGCTTACGAGGGAGGTCTCTGCTGGAGGAGCTGCCAAAAACTCTACGCCGCTGGTAGCTTTCCCGCTTGGAAGCTGGAAGAAAGGCGGGCACTTACCCATCAGTGCAGCTGTCAAACCAGTTCGGCACTGGAACCTGCCAGCCCCTCAGATACAGCAGCATCATTATGACACCGCTGCTCTGCAAGCGGCTGTCAGGGACAACACGCTGCCAGCTCAGCACATGCTCGAGTGGGACATGCAGCCGGCGTCATGGGATCGCCTCCTTGGCGAAGCCGCATCCAGGTTTTTCCCTAAGACCCCAGTGGCAATGCCAGATAGTCCGGAGACGAGCCTTGCCAGACGCATGTGGCGCTCGGCACGTGGGAGCAATGCTCACCCCAGTGCGGAGCCATCGCCGGAGGATGAAGCCCGGCAGAGGCTGTGTGATCAGCATAAACAGGCGGTTAAGCAGGCTCGCAAGGACCAGACCAAACGGTTTCTTGCTGAGGTTGATCAGGCTCTGAGCCAGGGCGATCAGCACCTGGCATATCAGACTCTTAAGCACCTCCGGCCGTGGAAACCGGCTTTGAAAGCTCAGCTTAAGGACGCGCACGGCTTCCTGCTCAGTCCTGCAAACGAACTGGATGAACTGGGGAAGTATGCAACTAAGGTCTTTGCGGCGCACCCACAGCTCCCGTCTGATTCGGGACTCCTGCCCCTATTGCCACAGACCAAGTTAGCAAAACATATTGCCTCGATCAAGCCTAGCAAGGCAGTTCCGAAAGGAGCGGCACCGGCCGCAGCCTGGAAGCTCTGTGCTCAGCCGATCTCTGCGGCGCTTTCACAATACTGTTCAAGCCTGACGCAGGACCAGTCACTGGACGACGATCTGACTCGCGCAGATCTCTGCTTAATCCCAAAACCGGGCAAGCCGGCTGACAAGCCTTCACAACTCAGGCCGCTGGGCATTCTTCGCCCGGATGCTAAAGGACTGGCGGGCACGGCCAAGGAGCTCCTGGAGCCTTTCACGCTGCCATACATGAAGCCTCTACCCCAGTTTGCATACCTCCCTGGGAGAGGTCTTTCGGATGCACAGAGCAGAGTGGTTCAGCATTTAAGGGAAGCAAGGCAGCTCTGTCGCAATGCGAATCTCACCCGAGCGGATCAGCAGCGGGGACAATGTCCTGTAGGTCTCGTCGGCGGCATCACTTTCGCACTAGACCTGTCACAGGCATTCGACACTGTGTCCCGAAGTGAGATCTTGTCCCTGCTAGATGAGCTGGGCGCGGATCCCCCGCTTAAGAAACTCATACACGGCCTTCATCATCGATCTAAATACAGACTTCATTCTCAGGGGGCCTACAAGGACGTGGAAACTACCACTGGCATCAAACAAGGCTGCAAGTTGGCCCCCACGCTGTTTTCCGTGCTCACAGGCCGCCTCCTTCATAGACTGATAGACGCATTTGGCTGGGACAATGTCCGCAGATACTTTACAGGTTACGCGGACGACTTCACCATGCATCGCACCATCCGCAGCCAAGCAGACGTGGACGCTGCTCACAAGATGATCCTACAGCTTCTGTCGGAGGTGACGAAACTGGGATTACGCGTCAACCCGGCCAAATGTGCCATGCTAGTCAAGCTTAACGGCAGAGAGGCGGAAGCCGTGCTTCAGAAGCACACCTGCTGGCTGCCCGACTCGACGGGCACACTACAGCGGCATTGGCGACTGGGCAAGCACAGATCCTTCCCTGCATACAAACTTGAGGCGCAAATCAAGTACCTGGGCATCCAAATTTCCTATGGGAACTTTGAAATGCAGACGCTGCGATTCCGCATAGCGGAGGCTGCCAAAAAGCTCCAGCAGGTCAAGCGATTCGTCTACAATCGCCGCACCGCGGGGCCAATGGCCAGGCTAAAGGTCTGGTTCACCACCGTTTGGGCCACCTTGGTCACGGGACTCCCCGAAGTCGGCCTCACGGAGGAGACGGCCAGGCATCTTAGAGGCTGGTATGCACACAAGATACGCTCGGTCCTCAATCAGCCTGCACACGTCGGCCACACACCTACAGCTGACCTGTACCGACTATATTCAATCCAAGACCCGGTAGCCAAAATCCAAACAAGGATGGCTTCTAGACTCAAGCGGTTGTGCAAGAGAACAGCCCCCTCCGAAGCCACCACTACAGCCCTGCCTGCACACACTCCCAGTGAACCCTCAGCGACGCGGGGCCCATGGGCCAGGCTGAGTCCACCAGCGACGGGCCTAGCAACACACCAGCAGCCGAACCACATACATACGGTGACGTCACGCAACTGAGCCACGTCGTACAGGACCTACAGGACATGCTGAGAGAGGTGGAAAACCTCCCGGCGAGCACCGAGGCCTCACAGCAGCGGCTACACGCCTGTCCTCACTGCGAGTCGGGTTTTGTCTCTGCACATGGCTTACACATGCACGTCACGCGAATGCATCGCGAGCACGTGCAAAGGTACATTCCCCCCTCCTTTGATCGCAGTCGGCACTCCAAGGATGGTCTACCTGTATGTTCTGCATGCGACAAGGCTTTCCATCAATGGAAAGGCCTACGTGACCATCTCTTATCGGGGGCCTGCACGCAGCCGGAACGACTGCGTCAGATCTCTCTCACCACTGAGGAACAGATGCAGGGTCAGGCCCTCCAGGGCCTGGCGGCCTTTCGCGCCAAGGTGCAGAGTTCGCCCAGCAACAAACTCAGTGCCATTGCCACCCGGCCAGAGGCTCAGGAGCTTAAGCATCGGTGCATTTTGTGCGGTTTTTGGACCCCGGACCATACCAAGATGAAGAATCATCAACGACAGGCCCATGCACAAGCATGGCAGCGAGATGGTCCGGCAGCACTTCAGCTTTGCAAGGCCTATTCTGTGCAGATGATAAAGGGGCACCCCTGCCCCTTTTGCAGGCTGCCGGTCTATGACAAACGCAAACACCCTGAGCAATGCATTGTCCTGTTTCAGGTTCTGCTTGGGTGGCACAAGGTGCAAGGCACGGACAAGATGCGGGAACAATGTTCCAAGCCTCATCCCAAGACCGCGATGACAATGTCACTTAGTGGCTTTTTTGGGGCTGCAGACAAGCCAGCTACCGCGGCTGCATCACCCACTGTTGCCATGGCAACGACGGGCGCCGTCGGCAGCACTCTCCCGCCAGGCCTGTATTCTCGTATGCGACACATGGTGAACTCGGGTAACACCTGCTATGTCAATGCGACCATTCAGGCCCTACTAGCCGCGCTAGACTCTGCGTCCAATGTAGCGGAACTGGGACCACTGGTCCAACACTGCATCAACCCGGAAGCGGATCCAATGGATACGAGGCACATAAAACCTCCAAGCCTATTCGCTCTCCGGTCCTTAGTGCCTAGATGGCGATTCGATGGCCGTCAACAAGACGCCTCCGAATTTGTCACATACATGCTAGAGCACAACACGGGGACTCTGCAACCCGCTCGCTGGGAAGGACGCACTAATGGAGTGCCGGAAAGTGAGGATGACGGCCTCACGCCGTTGCTGCTGCCCCTTTCCTCAGCCTGTCGTACACTGCAGCAGGCCTGCACGGCATGGTATGACCACACGTTCCAGCGCGCCCTGGCATGGGCCCCTGACATCCTGCCAGTCACAATGGCTCGATGGATGGACGGCATAAAACGACGCACCCCGCTGGACCTGCGCAGGCACCTCTCAATGCCGTCTTGGATTGAGGGTCAGGGCCGGCAATGGCATCAATATGCAGTCATTTCGGGAGTTTTTCACATAGGTGCTGACATACACTCCGGCCACTACCGGTCCTTCTGGATTCACCCAAATGGAGGCGCGCTGTATGTGGGGGATGATGCCACCCGCCCATACCCAGCCTCGGCCTCAGATCGCAAACATGTTATGGAAGACTGCTACCTCCTTTTCTTGAGAAGACAGGAGTGACTCTGACTCACCCTCAAGGGGTGAGTGCTGGCCCTCCAAACCTAGGAATGCGTGCACCAATAGGGTGCCTGTGCGTGGGAAGGCCGGACCCCACAATAGGTGGGCATGGCCCCCCCCACGTCAAGGCCAAGCATGCTTTAGGCATGCGCAGGCTTACCCGCAGCTTTTCAGGCTGACCCAGCATGGCTGACACGATCCACAGCCCGGACCACAAAAGTGGTCGAACCGCCTCTCCCCTGGCTCCAGATTCACTAATGGGAGAGCCATCTGAGCCGCTTGGGGTCGACACTCGACGCCAGACATCCGGAGGCGGCAAGCAGCGGCAAGGCAGCGCCCTGCATGCCCTCTCCAACGCTGCAACCAATGGTGCCACTGGCAGACTAAGCAGTAAGTCGCGGAGGCCATGCCTGTTCTCACTTGCGTCTCTTCCGAGACAGACTGATGGCCCTTCTGCCGGATGCCGCCGCTGTCAGTCGGAAATCATGCCCTAGCCTGCTGCCGGTCGCGCTACTGCTGCTCTGCTGACAGCATACACAACGCGAATTCCGTTTCAATGTTCAGGTACATACAACAATCTGGAGCTTGATACCCTGCAGCCTGCAAACTCGCTTTGGCTGATCACTGCCAGTTAGCTCAAAGCCTGTAGGCCGCAACCACTCAAAGGTCTTTTGACCTGGGCGGATCAGCTATAGGGTCTGAGTCAGTTTCACACCAAAGTGAGTGCACCGCGGCAATCGCCCGCTATGTGCAGAGCCCGCTCGCACAGCGTTCAATTGAAATTGGTTTCAGCGGTTGTGCTGCTGCTGCTGTAGTGCTAGACGAGACGGTTGCTTGCATGACAGGTGCTGCAGTACGACTGCCACCGCCCCCACCTCTTTCTTTCATGAGCCCGGAGCGGTAATCTGCAGAATAAGCTGAAAGCGCGAGAGGGGCCTCAAGCCGAAGCATCGCCCCCCGGAAAGCAGCACGGACCCTCACGCCTCAACTCAGGTCGGACGTCTCAGCCATGCTAAAGCTTCTCGGTTACTCGGAGTCGGACCTGAACAAGCAGGTGACTTTCAAAGCTGCGGAAGGCACTGGCGCCTCAGCAGCGATCCGTTGTTGTGGGGCTCACGGGTTCTTGCTTGACAGTGCTCGTCATAGACAGGAAGGGGGAGAAAGCAGGTGTCGGCTCAAATGTTATGAGGCAGTTCTGGAGGAACTGTTTGAGCACCCACTGCCACGCCCAAATCCAGGGCTTCTTTTCGTTGACATGATGTTGATGCGTCGTGTGCGACCGTTTGTTCGGCTCCGAACGTATGCTCGACATGCTCTTTTCTCGGTGAGGTAGGATGTCGTAGGCTCTTGAACCTCATCGCAAAAGCCCTCGGTCCCAGGTTTCAAGATCAAGAAGCCTTTCCCGTCTCCTTGCACTCTGCGCGATGCGCTGTACCTTTACTGCGACCTGGCCCGTGCGCCCACAAAGAAGCTGCTGCTCGGTTTCCATGTTCAGGCTGGGGGCTGGGGTTTGTTGTTTTGGTAGCTGAGTGGATACACTTGACACTTTTTGGGATAATATTAGACACTACAAAACTGAAAGTGTGAACTTTGTGGGTCTTATGAACTCAGCAACTAAGGTATGCTAGGACACAGCGTCTCGAGGCACCATTTAGCAGCAGTGGGGCGTGTGGTGACGGGTGACCAATTCCAGGCCACACTCTTCTAACCCTTCTTCCGCTAACCGAGTTCAGGACTGTCAGGAGGCATCGGAGTCCACCTCTTCATGCCTTGCACCAAAGACGAACCAAGCCCGCTCCGATCTTACGAATGGACTCGGAAATTGAAGGAGTTTAACAAACAAAGCAGTTCAACAAACAAAGGCTTGTTGTGGTCAGAAACATAACATGGATTGAAAAGATGTCGGTACAGGGCTCAAACACAAGACATGCGCGAAAGAAAGTTTGCATTCTAGGTGTCCATATACATATGTATATGTATATGTATATGTATATGTGTATTTATGTGTATAAAGTCTATGTCTATGTACATATGCATGTATGTATGTTTGTTTGTATGTATGTATGTATGTATATATCTGTATGTACTTGTGCAAAATGCAAGTCGCTGGAGGGCTGGTATGTTATGTCCACATTCGGTCATGTCGCATCTTTCCGTGCATCTGCTGTTCGAACATGCATTTTTCCATTTATCATTCCACCTCGTTTGTTTGCATATGTGTGTGTGCTCTCCATTTGCTTGCAGAAAATGTCTGAACCGCGGAACGCCTACGGCACCAGAGAGAACTGAGGCTCTCCGCCCTCCAAGACAAGCTGGATGCGCCCGCGAAGGAATTCGTAGGCCCCCGTAAACGGAGTGGAAGGGCTTCTCTACAGCTTTTGGGAGCCTTTGGATTTGCAGATCGGTGGCACCTTCTGCAACCGTTCATGGTCCCTGTTAGGAAGCTGCACTGTGCAGCTGCCTAACAGGTGCGGGTCGGCGAAGATATGCGTGTTCGGGGATCGTAGCATTTTCTTGAGCGCAGGTGCAAGTTTTTTTTAGCACAGGTAGATAGCGAACTGCCCGTGGCACGTAGGGGTCGCAGATATTGGGAATTTGGGTGGAGATCCTCCGCATTTAGTTCAAGTTGATTGGCAAGCAGAAAGTAAGCAGACGCATCATCGCCTGATATTCTCACGGTGAAGATTGCTGAGTACTGACGGCTTTTTCTGATGCCTGTCTTCAGTCCACAACGGTCGACGCAAACTATTTACGGATCGTACAATGAAAAGCACGCATGTGCGAGTAGGTCGTACCTGTGATGATCGATCTAGACTTTCGGAGACTAGGTTTTTTGGGAAGCATCGTTTGTCTGGGGTTTCGGTTTGAAGTACGATAAACCGCCTTTGCTGTGCAGGCAAGCTGCTGTCAGATGCTGATGCGCTGAAGGCGCTGCAGTCTGATGCAGTTTGCTGCCGCATGCACGAGTTCTCCGGGCTGCACTGGAGTCACTAATTCACCACGGTTGCGACCTGGACTGCGGATGCAGTATGATCTTCCTTTGGGCCGCTGCAGCAGCTTCTTTTTAAACCAGACAAGACCTTGGAAGAATAAGGTTCTGGGCGCTCCTGGGTGTAACAGGAGCGCTTCGCAAATTTAGGTTCGACATGGCGAGCTGGCAGTCAAGCTCCGGATTCTGAGTTTGGAGGGTGCAGCTATTGGCCTTCACAGCACCGGAATCGACTGATAAGGAAAGTCAAGGTCCAAGGTTTGTCGTGAAGAGTTGCAGGAGGCCTGGATCCGGTCAAGTTCCTCCTAAACTGCCCTCGGCAGCGCGCCCGTGCTTTGGCTTGGGGTCAAAGAGGCTTTTGCGAAAGCGTAGCTTGAGTTTTGAGCTTGGATCTCCAAGCCTAGGCGAGTTCACCATCGCCTCGTCACCACTCATGGCACCAAAGCGGATTTCTTTGTGTGCAGCCTGGTGTGCACGAAGTTCGTAGGCGTCCAGCGAGTTGTGATGAAGCTTGTTTCTGTTGGGCATGGTCCCTGTCAGCATTGGCTCTGGAACAAGTTGTGTTTGACTGCAAGTCCATCCTCGTTGACTGGTGCCAAAGACCCCCTCGGAGGTGAGTCTGACAACCCGCGAGACGGAGAGTTTGGAGTCCATGGCCGAGAGCCTGCTCGGAAAAGCCAATAGTTGAGCAACATTGCTTATATATAGTTCAACAGCTACAGCTACATATAAGCAATGTTGAGCAGAAAATGGGAGGGTTCCATTGCGAAGGCGTCGGTCTGGGACAGGAGGGCAGGTCCTGTGTCATTGAGGGATTGAGTTTTGCTTGATTTCCGCCAAGACCGATGTTGATGTTTCGCCCAAACAAGCCGGCACAGCCTCACGAATCGTTTCACGGTGTGTGCAGCTGCCGGAAGTGCATGGTCGGTCCTAGCCACGTAGCGCCAAGGAAGCTCATCAGTGCCGGAGCCCTGCCGCCGACTGCGACTGCAGCCGCGCGTGAGGCGGACCCCGCCATGCAATAATTGGGGGCCCCAAGTCGCATAGACAAGTGTGAGTGAGGGCATGAGGGTTTTCAACCCTGGAAAGGGCAGATGCTCCAGGACCGCGACGGGTCCCAACAGAGAGATCCCAACATCGATGGGTTTCAAGAACCACTGAAACTGCGAAGACCTCTGGCAGTATCTAGCAGTAGTTCGCTATTGCCGTACCTGTAGTTATGCAGCTACAGATGCTTTGCGTCGAAATCTTTCCCAAGCAAAAACCGTTACCATGTAGCCCCTACACCTGCCGTAAACCCACGCCCTCAATCCCACGCAGTGTGTGTTTAAGCTTTCCTGACCGACCCTCTAAGATGTCTCAATTTATCCAGGCCCGGCCGAGATTCCTGGGCATGTGCTCCCGGTACATCTCGGCGGACCTGAAAGAAGGCGGAGTTCTACGGTTTCGGGTTTAGGAAGGGGTCATTGGACCATGTAGGAGATTTGGAGATGATGGAAGCTCTTTATCATTCTGGTTTGTTACAGGCTTTGCGGTTGATATTCTTCTGCTTCGTCTTCTCTCTCTATCGGAAGTCGCTTGAGTAACGGTTAACATCACCGCTTCACGTCCGATGCAGCAGATGTTGGCACGAAGGGTCACCTCCGCGAAAGCACTGCCTTCGGACATGGGAATTATGCCAGATGCCGTAGGACGAAACAGCCGAGATGGCCGATAGTCGGTCTTGGCATCAGACGCTTGCATCCACATGCGGGCCAGGTGATTGCGTCCTCGCAAAGTACCATTCATCCTCGCTCACCTTGCCAAGCAAAGATGTGCCGATCGAGTCTCGTCACAAGTTGTGCGCTTCACAGCTTTGCCCGAGCTCCTGTAGCCTTGCGGCCTTACGTGCTCATGAAAAACGAGCCTCTGCAGGTTATGGTGGGAGCAGGTGCCGGCGTGGCACCCTTCCGCGGTTTCTGGGACGAGCTCAGGAAGGGTCCGCAGGTCGCCCCTGCGCCTCCGGCAGCAGATGGCAAGGGCTCTGCCTGCAGCTACTTGCAGCCGGCTGTCGTCTAACCCACGCTGGTGAGGAGGAGTCTCTTGATGTCGAGTCTGCAGTGTCTGTGCAAGCAGCACATCGGACAGAGTTTTGGACAGACCACTGGGATAGCTCCTGTGTCTCTACAACACTTCTTGCATGTGACCATCGCAGAAAGTGAGAACCCAAGGCAGTGCTCTTCTTCGGATGCCGGAATCCCGCGCAGGAGCCCGCGTAGTTTTTGAGAGAAGCGGATTCCTTTCCCGCATTCTCATCCTTCTGTCAAAGTCTCAAGAAAGGACCTGTCCGTATTTGAGGGCATGCCCCGTCTAGGAGCTTCGGCAACTGGCATTTTGAGGTCTTCGGAGCGAGAGTTTGGGTTTTGTTGTGGTGCTTGCATCTTGTGGGATCTTGTAGTTTTCGATGCGGAGACTCGCAGCCGCAGAGCCGCAGAGCTCCTCCGAAAGGTCGGGGCAGAGTCGGAAGAGTCGGATCACCAGGACTGGCTTTACAAGGATGAGATGAGCGCCGCGGTGAAGCTGGGCGGGGGCTGCGCCGCCTTGGCCCGGATGCAGGCGGTTTGGCCTTTCTTGGAGGGTTGGGGTCCGGTCCCCTGAACTTGAGAGAACCGCAGTTTTTGCAGGAGACATTTTGGGAATAGGAGGGGCTTTGAAAGGTCACAGACGGTCGCCGAACTTGAGAGTCGCTGCCTCCACCTAGGCAGCTGCTTCGTTCCCCCGAAGACCTGGCTTTCTGCCTCCACCTAGGCAGCTGCTTCGTTCCCCCGAAGACCTGGCTTTTTGAATCCCATGGAAGGCCATGTTCCCCTTGTGCAGGTCGGTCCAAAGAGGCCGCTGGCCAGCCTCTTCACGGCTTTCTCGTCGCTCGGAAGCCGTTGTCCAGTGTCAGGGCATGAGCTTCAAAGTGCAAGCTGCATTCGGAAAGGGTAGCGGGTAGGTGCAGATCGGGCACCCCGCAGGCCCGGAAATACTATGTAAGTGGCGGGGCGAGAACCCCGCTGTACACAATCGTCTTGGTGCCAAGGCGGCCAGGGGAGGGCAAGGAGAAGACCTACGTTCAGGCATCTGTCTGGTCGTCTGCGCTTGCTTGCCCACCTCGTACTTCGGTTGCGTTCATTCTACTCCTTGTATAACGAAGGCATTCGGCCGGGTCTGGGGTTCTCGGCAGTACTGTGCACCGCAGTCGCCAGCTGCTCGGGATGGCGCCAGCACATGTGAGCCGAATGGCGTGGCGGCGAGTGGCTTCGCCGACTTCGCCGGTTGTTTCGCTGCGGAGCACTTTCGGCGACATGGAGGATGGAGCCACCAGCGAGGTTGCACTCTGGAAGCTGCCGCAGAGATGTAGATTTGATCAGCCACACCAATGCCATGGCCAGCTGCGGCAGACGTGTGCAATGGCAGGCGGCGCTGCAGCTTTTCGCCCACATGCCAATTATGAGGCTCGCGGCAGACTTGGTGGTTTGCAATATTGCCATCAGCGCAGGCGAGAGGGACGGCCAGTGGCAGACCACCCATCAGCTGCTGCATGTCACGTTCAGGGCAAAATGGTATCCGGATGCAAAGGCTTCAGCATGGTCCTGGGCGATCGAAATGCTGAGAGGCATGGCCATTGCTATGGCGACTCCTAAAGGCATCAGCTGTAGCAGTGCAGTGAATGCGTGTGAGAAAACGGGTCGATGGTCTCTGGGCTTCTCCTTCTGGGGCACTTGGCGATGTCGCTCTCTCCGAACGTCGTCACCTGCAGCAGCAGCATCAGCGCATGCCGAGGTGATCCTTGGTTCTGGGCTTTGACAATCTTGGCGGCAGCTCGTGCGAAGGGCATCGAAGCTAACAGTTTCGCCTACAACGCCGCCATCAGTGCCTGCAGGGAACAGCAGTGGCAGGTGGCCCAGGGCCTTCTGAGGGCCATGCGCTGGTCCTTCGTCCTCGCCGATGTGATCTCCTACAACAGCCTCCTGGCAGGCTGCGAGAGCTGCGAGGTGCGGGAAGGCTGGCGTGTGGCCATCCGGCTCTTGATGGACATGTTCGAGGCGCACGTTTGGCCCGACGTCATCAGCTTCAACAGCGCTTTGAGCTCTTGCGCCCAGGGCGGACAGTGGACCACTGCCCTGGCACTCCTCACTTCCATGCCAAGCTGGACCCTCGCAGCGGATGTCGTATCAGCTGCTGCATCTCTGCCTGCGAGACGGCCAACCAGTGGTTGCGGGCTCTCGGTTTCTTGAGGGTCATGGCCGAAGAGAAGGTGCGGGCGAACGAGGTCTCCCTTGCCAGCGCCGTGAGCGCCTGCGGCAAAGGAGGTCCCGGTGGGCGCTGGCACCTCGCTCACTCTCTGCTGTCCGACACGTCGGCCACAGGGCTGCAGCTGCAATGCCGCCGTCAGCGCATGCGCCAACAGAGCCCCGTCGGACTCCGGGCCGTGGATGGTGGCTTTGAGCCTTCTCACATCCATGTCGGATGCCACCGAATGTCGGTACCTTCGGCGCCGCGCTTGCCGCCTGCGAGAGAAGCTCTCGGTGGGCGGAGGCGCTTGACCTACTTGATGCTATGCTGGAGAGAGGGGTCCGAGTCCTGCCCAACGAAGTGAGCTGCTGCAGCCTTCTCAGCGCTTGTGCATCGGCTTCCGAGTGGAGGGCCGCGCTGGCTCTGCTCTGGCGCATTCCCGAGCTCGAGGTTCCTCCCGGCATCATCAGCTTCAACGCTGCGATCGAAGCCTGCAGGCAGCCGGGTGGCTGGGCCTTGGCACTGGAACTTCTCAAGGCCGCGTGGAGTTTGGACCTGGAGCCGGATGCCGTGGCCTGCAGCAGCGCCTTCGGCGCTTTCGGCGCCTTGCGCAGCTCCGACGGGTGGGTCTTGGCCTTGGACCTGGCCGCAGCCATGGAGCAGCGGCAGGTGGCCGGGAACACCGTGTGCCTGAACAGCGCCCTGGTGGTCGTGTGCAGAGCCGGCCCTTGGCAGAATGTTCTTTGTCTCTTTGGTCGCATGTGCCGAGCCACTGTGCTGCCCGATGTCTTAAGCTTCAACAACCTCTGCCGGGCTGCAGATGCAGGCGAGAATGGGTTTTGACTGACATCTCAATCTGTGCATCTTGCTGCTTCGGCTGTGGCCAACCTCGCGGACAGCCTCCTGTGAGCGTGAGTCCCTGCCCAGCCTGGGTGAGGTCACTTCCACTTTGTGTTGTGCAGAAGCTTCGTTGCTTGGCTCTTTGGGAAAGCTTGAACTCGCACGACCCTTGGCACTGCCCAAAAGCCTCTGCTGGAGTCTTTTGATTGCTGACTGCTCAGTTGCAAGGAAACCGGGGTGTAGATGCTGCTTGTATCATCGGAAGTCTCTGGATCCATGTCAGTCTATGTCATTCTACGGCTGCAGAATCGGGAGCGCCATGGCCTGGCAGGATGCCATCAAGAAGCAGGGCGAGTCGGCTCAACCCTCGGTGTTGGAGTCGACCCGGACTGCTCCCAGGGCCCAAGGAAAACCACCCAGACCCAACACCAACGGCCCGTCTTTGCTAGGCAGGAGGGAAGGGAAAAAAGGCAAACGAGAGACAAGCTCGAACTCATTTTCGACAATCCCTGAGACCTCTACCTTGAGCTTTCGCCAGAATTGCCCCGGGTGGGAAGAGTTGAAACTTAGGGCCTGGAGCGAGACAGACTCACAGTGGGTGTTTCGAGGTCAAGGCATGGGTTCAGAACATGGGCGGCTACGTCTTCATCTGCGGCTCCACGGCCCCTCGGAGATATTCGAGTTCGGGGAGATATAAAGTATGCACCACGGAGCACCGAGAAGGAGGAACACGACTTTGAAGGATGCGCAGAGTTGCTCTTCAAACGATTCCTACCACTGCAGCCCCACAGAGCTTGGCATCCATGTCATCGTTTGGCAGGATCCGGCTCCTGCTCGGGCTTAGGAAGATCCCCCCCGCGGCATATTTTCCTCCTAGTAGGAAGACGGCCGCTCAAAAGCTTCAAAAAAAGCTCCGCTGCGTCACGGTTTGGACGGTTTCCTGGAGCCGAGGCCATGGGGAACGGTGTGTTGCAGGCGCTGGGAGAGGCAAGTGGGCTGAGCCGATGACCATGCTGTACGTAGCATATTTCATTACACTGAATTTCTATTTGCGTGCTACCGTATTCTAGTACTGTTATTGTTTTTGTTTGGCTTATGATCATAATGTTTATGATCACAGTATCAGCACTTGTTATTACTGTTTCATATAGTATCTGTCATATTTAACTCTTTTTCTGGGGTCTCTGCCAGGTCCTGGAAGGCGGCCCCGAAGCCGTAGAGGCCCTGAAGAGCGAGGGCCGCATCGTCGCGGCTCCTGGGCTTCAGCCGCTTTTTGATGTCCGAAAGCCTAAACCCAAAAAACCCTCGCCTGAACTACTGCAGACCCTGCCAGGCTTTGTCCGAGAGTGTCAAAAAAACCCTCGCCTCGCCTGGATTGTCCGAGAGCGCCGAAACCCTCAGAGGACCTGAAGCCATGCCAGCCGAGTGCGAGTGTGTGAGGCGAAACCCTAAACCCCAAATCGTCAATAGAGATAGACAGTCAAGAAATGGATGATGTTGTTCAATTGCTTCCTCCTTTTGGTGATTGTGTTTCTTCGGTTCCTCCTCATGAGACGGTTCATGACAGCGACTCGGCGGAGACCCTCATGCTTCCTAGGCTAGCGAGAGATGGTGTGTAAGGCACCCGTACATAGACCAAACCACAACATAGATGCTCCCGAACAGACTCATTATTGTAGTCTCATGGTGGCTCCATGCCTTCTAATCCAAACCACTAACCCACGACCGCGCGCCATGGCTTGCGAGTATCCACTGCGCTTTAGGCCTACGCCTGCATGCTGCATGGAGGAGTATGCTCCCGACGATGGCAGAAACATGTTGTGTTCAGCTGTGGGCATGGTGATGGCGTGCCCTGGAATTCACCCTGACTGCACCAGTGGAAAGCATTGCTCTGATGCGGGCAGTATGCTGTGCGTGGATCGTGGCATACTGTTACAGGGAGAAGCTCTGCCGGACAATGACTGGAATGAGCTGCATGATGCTGGGTATGTGGTTGAGTGCTGGCATTTGACAGTCAAGCAACAGGCAGCGCTGAATACAGGTCGGGGCATTTGCATGTGCATGATTTACTGCACGAGTTGCATGTGGAGAATTCAACTGAACCAGCCTGGACAGTTTGCCTTGCGAGAGTCTGCTATGCGCAACACACTCGAACACAGCATGGTGTTGAGCAATGGAGCACCTGATTGAGCACATATACTTTGCATGTTGCTCGCCGCCCGAAATTTTGCTGCAACTGGTCCCTGTGGAGTATATTGTGGCTGCATGAACCCTTAATTCGTTTGCATGCTCTGCAAGTGCATGGTATATGTATAGCCCACGCAAAGTTCACGCCTCTCCATCGCCCTGTTTCACCCAGCCAGTAAAGTGTTGTTGTTTGGGAATGCTAACTAGTGTATTCCGCTGCGATTGGTAATTGCCGATCCCTGAGACTCTTCATTCAGGATGAGTCTCTCCAGTGCAGATGTCTCGGCCCTTGCAGTTATAGTGTCTTGGACGTGTAAGGGCCTAGGCTGAGGAAGGGTCACTGCGTACAGTCACTTCATCTGTTCTCAAGCTGTGATAGTTTCTGATGCTCCCTCTTAGCGATGTCTCACTTAGCACGACTCCGAACCACATGCCTCGCCTGGATTTGTCCGAGTGTGAGCGCCGAAACCCCAAATCCCAGAACTGGCTGCCGTGTGCGAGAATGAGAGACGACATCCCAGAACCAACTGACTGAGACGCGACCCGGACAGGCAGTGTTAGTCAACTGGCCTCCACCAGCATGTTGGTCTCAGGGCTCACGGAAACCCGAGTGCAGACGTTCCTGGCTGCTGAGGAGATGTGGGGCTGAGAATCGAGAACGCAATTTTTGGGATACCTCGTGTTAGAGGTGTCGAGCAAGTGTCTCTCGGTGTGTATGCCGCGGCGGTTTGTCGATGCGGTGTCATGCTGGTTTAGACAAGTTTAGGGCATTCCTCTTTGGGTGATGTCATGGCCATGACCTCCCGCCGACAGTACCTCAGGCCCTTCAATCTAAACCCTCACGTCGATGTGGTTTCGGCAGCAAGCCCATGAGGAAGCCCTGTTTTTCGTATGCGGCAGCAAATGTTGGCGCGCGAGATCTAGGAGGTCGAGGTTCGGGTAGCCGAATCCGAGGCATGCCGCTATCCATCCGCGGAGACGGGCTTAGACTCTTAACTTTAGGATAGCTTGAGCCTTGAAACCAGTGATTGCGCAGTGTGGCAGTGGTTGTACCACAAGCACAAGCAGCGATGCTGATATACTGGGTGTGCGAGAAACTCTACGTGCAGACTGAAGCTGAGTTTCTTGCATCGACTCGAAGCACTTAGTCACTCCATGGTGATGGGGTGGGGCTCTTTTTCGGGTGGTCGCTCGTCTTATCTCTGTGCGGGCGGGGTGCCTCGCGCCGGCATTCTTCGGGCCTTTAGGGGGGAAGGGCCCAGATCGTGGGCGATTTGAGTCGGAAGGCGCAGATGCAGCGCTCGAAATCTTAGATGCGACTTTCGGGACTCTGAGCTCTTCAGCTCCAAGGCCAAAACCCAACGTTTCATCTGCTGCGGGCCGTGGGCTCTCAGCTTTCGAAAAGGCTGCGGGCTTGTGCTTCGCGGCGCTTGCCGATGTGGCTCCCCGGTGCAGCTCCATGCAGGAGCCATACCAAGTCTAGGCGAAAGCAAAAAGCAGGTGCATAGGGTGCGCAGGCTCACTGCTTTGCTTCTCTCTCAATAGGTCCAGTTGAATGCCAGAGCGGCTCTTTGCTGCAGCACTGCCGCAAACCCGTCGGTACAGGCACAATGGTAACCCGAACAGCCAGGACAGGTCCGGCCGGAAGTGTGGCCATGACTTTGATCCGCTGCAAACGAGCAATGAATCCCGATGTTCGCAGTGGCTGGTTCAAGCGTGTGGTGCACTGCCGTCACACAACACTCGTGCTGTTCTCATGGGACATCTTGGACACATCGTTGATTTGGAGACGAAATATGGCGAAAGAAGGCGAGGGAAGTTTTCCTGGCGTTGGCAGAAGTTGTGCACAGGCGTCTTTGCAAGGTGGAGTCCGATACTTACACCTCTCGGCCTGAGTAGGCCGCTTTTTCCAGTGTCGGTCGGACATGGGTGCTTTGCTCTTTGTCGCTGCTTAGCCCAGCATGTCTGGGAGAGTGCTTCGCGCAGACGGACTCAGTCGAGCCGTTTCCTCAAATTTTGCCATAAGAGTCCGAAACTTCCAGCTGGTGTTGTTGAGGGTCCAAATTTCCGAGACTTTGGCCGCCGCCGTGGGAAATTCATTCAAGTGTACGGGAAGCTCTGAACAAAAGCACATGCTGCCTCATGCAAGAAGTGAGAAGCTCGGAGCAGGGGTCAATGTGTAGTGGCTGTGTTGACCTGTTTTATGTATGCCAATGTCCACGATGCCCGAACCTGTGCCGAGAGCGCGAGACCACTGCCTCAACCGCACGCCCCCAAGTCGGCCTTTGGCCAATGACCACACTGCGCACCTGACCCGTGCTGACTTCGCCATGAATTGCCCTGGCCGTTTCGCCGTGCGGCCGCTCGAAGACTGTGACCAGAAGAAGGCTCGACCATGTACTAGGGTGCAAGCTTCTCTTTGAGGTCCTTTGATTCTGTCGCAGTTCGACCGAAAGGGGCTGTGGTTCTGGAGGTGGTCACCTTCTCATCGTGCTGGGGTGCACGGCCTGTGTCGCAAACGAGCTGCTTGACCAAGCTTTGAGACCTTCCTCTTGCTATCGAGGCCTCCGGCGGTCGCCTCAACTCAGATGGTCGTCTCAATCGTTGAGAAACCTGAACCGAGCTTAAGTGACCCTTGCCGTTCTAGGGCTCTGTGAGAAAGGCAGCTTGTTCGGTCAAAGACCGCTCGCGATCCGAGGCTGGGGTTGGCCACGCCCGCGGCAAGTTCCAGCGGCCCTGGATGCACTTAATGGCACAGAGGCACAGAGGTGCGAACGTTTCCGATCACACTCCCTAGCCGTAGATTCCTTGATAGGAGCACGAACTAGTTTTTTTTTTTGGTGTGTGTGTGTGTGTGTACTGAACTCTGCTTGAGTGCTCGGGCAAAAGCAGACAGTCCGAAATGAGACACTGAACTGAACAGGAGCATGGACAAAAGCAAACGCCTCCAGACGTAGACTCGATCCATGTGGTCTCATCCAGAGCAAATTCGAGTGGAGTCACCGGCTTGAGACAAGACCAATCTCTCAGGCGCTTCTGGCGCTTCTTTTTGCTTCCTCTGTGCCACGGCTGCGGTGCCGCCGTCGTGCAGGGGACCGGGGCAGCGGATAGATTGAGCAAGAGCTGGACGGGTAGTGAAGGAAGAGGTGCATATACGGCCAGTCTTCGTAGCCGTGTTCACGTGCATTCCGGAGGTATGTGCCTTCACTCGACCGATCGGCCTAACCCGCTTCTGAGCTGCTGCACGGCAGGGATCCTGCGTGCAGAGTTGTCAAACCCCGGACAGAGCACTTTCCGAATAGCTAACGAAGCAGAAGAAAAGAGCGCATACATAGAGTTCTCATACCTATGCCTATGTCTTTTCGTCTGCCTATACCTACATCTATACTGCTCTAGTCTTGTATCTACATCTAATCTATACTGTCTATACTTTTATCACTGTATCCATCCATCCTTTCTCTTCGCCAGTGAAAGCCACCTTCCAGGACAGTTTCGAATTCAACACGCGCCTTTGGAATCAGTTTCTGCGGATTGCGCAGCCCTATTTCTTGCCGTTTCCAGACGCTCGCCTTGCAGCTCGGAGTTCGAGTCGGGGATACACGTAACGTCGAATCCAGCTGAGCTTGTTAGCGCAGTCTCTCAGCAATGCAGAGATTTTCCAATTCCGTTGTGGGTTTCTCGTCGTCGAGACGTACGCTTGCGAAGAAGCCCGCTCGTGGAAAGGACGACGATCAGGAAGCCTCCGATGCCCAGCCTGGATTCGTTGCGTTGATCCTGGCCACGCTCGTCGGCGGCTGGACTCTTTGTTGAGTTCGGCTTTCCGGCCATGTGGAGTTGTGTGGACTTTCTTTGCAGAAACGGTCTACAGAAAACTCAGGGATCCGTTTGAGTTCCTCTCGGCACGAAGCAGTCCCAGCAAAGCCTGTTCATGTCAGTACTCGAAGTGCTTGCAGCTGTTGTGCCGCTCCCAGGCGTCGTCGGAGGCACCTTCTGGCTGGCTTTGGGTGCGGGCTTGGCCGCGCAGGCGCTCCTGGGATCACTGCCAGAAGGCCGAGTCTGGCAGAGCTGCGGGGCCTGGGTCGGGGTCTGTCGCAATTCAAGGGCACTTTGGAAGGGAAATCACAACCATTGGTTGCTTCCACCAAGCTCGATCCATGGAGTCTTTTGTTCTCGAGGTTGCGAGTGTTCTAGGGCCCCAGAAACGAAGCGCCCCTTGCATGCTGAGCTCGATGCTCCGTTGCGAGAGGCTTGGGTGGCACCCTGACCTCCATGCAGGAGACGGGCTGTCGGATCGTGCAGGGATGCGAGGGCAGGAGCTCCTGAAAGCCTGAAGCCAGACCGAGATCTCACGGTTTTTTCTCGACCTGCGATCCGGTCCCTCCCACCCTGAAAGGCTCCCGCGCTGGAGCTTGTGGCGCTCCTCGGCGTCCTAGGCGCCCTTGCGGGGTGAGTGCCGATACCGAGAAAGCCCTGTGTAGGACTTGCAGAACGCCGGGCATTCTTGTGGAATGAGCCTTCCGAAGCCAGCCGAGCATCGTACACTAGGAAGCGTAGGAAGACGCAACCAAAGCAGCGGTATCTGCAATCAGTGGAGCAAGCGTGAGCAGGTGCCTCTGCAACTTTTGCGGCCGCGCGTCAGCGTCTACAGGGCCGCTGGCGACAGCCACTGGTTGCATTCGGGGTACTTAGGTTCTGTCATGATGCCGGCCCCAGACCGTGACTCAAAGACAAGTTTCAGCCATTCGGGTTCAGAGTTTCAAGTTTGATACTCGCTCTTTGGGACTTTGCCTTGCGTACACGCCGACCCTTTGTGGCCGAGCTGTCGAAATAGTATTTGGATTCGGATAGCATTTGGAACAGTACGATGCTCGATCCTGACGGAGCAACACTGAGGTGGTGGCTTCTGGCGTTGCTGCTTTTCTTGCTCTTCTGCGTCACGGGTCTCAATGTGCTGCTAAGCTATGCCAGTGCCTCAGACCCTTGGTCCGGGTTGCAAGTTGGATCTGAAACGCTGGGGATCCGACTGTGCGTGCACGTGGCAGCTCCAACACTCCAACCATCTTTCAGATTCGGCTTGGGGAGTGCCGAGCTCGCTCTCAGGTCTTTCGGGCGATCGACAACGTTCTCGTGGCTTGGTAAGGCAAGCATCAACAACTTGCAGCGTCGGGTCTACTACACAACCTGTGGCCCGTGGCTGTGCTGTAATGGGCTACTGCAGTTCCCTTTGGCCTTCGGAGCATCAGGTTGAGAAGAACGCGACCGAGTTCTATGCACAACTGGGCGTGTTTGGTGCCGCCCTGGCCGTTGCGGTGCCAGTGATCAGCACCTCAGACTCGTTGAGCAGGTTGAGTGTTGGGCTCCTAGGGACTCCCAGAGCCGAGGCGGCTACCGCTACGTCCGGCTCACGCTAGGCCCAGTTTGGGGGGAGGGCCGGGCCAGCTGGGAGGGGAGGCTCCGCCTTGACGGGACGCTTCGCTTCGGGCTCTGCCGACGAGGCCGGAGCTGGCGCCAGGCCTTGACGGAGCTCTTTTTGGCGAAGTATTTGCAGAACCGCGCCTTCTACCTCCTCGACTCGAGCCTCGGAGACAACACGTGACACACGACACAGCGACACATGACATACGTGATATGACTCGCTCCCACCGGCACTGTATGTGGCTCTGTCTCTACATTGAGCTCAGCAAAAACATGAGCAAAGCCCGGCCGGGTCGTCGAGTTTTGCGTTGGAAGAAAAGTCCGAAGCTCTGCGGCTCAGGAACTCGCAAAGCACCGATGTGGACAACCCGGACCAGAGGATTTCGGAGGATGTCGATTACTTCACCAAGGTCACGCTGGACTTCTTGCCCCTTAGCCGGTTTAGCCTGCAGCTGCTGCAGCTGCCGCCCAGGCCTATGCCTTGGAGAGTCTCTTCAAGAAAAATCCGCTCCGGTCCTGCTTAGGCTGGACATTCTTGACAGCGTGCTGAACCTCGCGGCTTGGCCAGAGAACCTTCGGATCCCAAGCTCAGGACGCGGAGAAGACTCCTTTCATTTGCTGTGAGTGTGAGCAGGTGTCCTTTTCTGCAATCCTGTGGACCACATCGCAGACCCTGACTGGAGCTTTGGCTGTGTACGCCACCCGGCCTTTTGGAACATGCCCGAGAAGCTAGGAACCAGGCGCTTAGGGATGTCCATCATCGTGAAAGGTAGCGCCGGAACGCAGAATTCTTAGCGGTGGACATTCTAACATTGAATCACAGCAACTGTCCAGAATGTACACGGCTGAGAGCACTGAGCGTTCTGGAACTCTGAAGGCTTTGGTCGGTACCTCCTTGGCCGTGTACCTGGGAGGCCGTCGGGTTTCTGGTCTTCGAATTTTCTGACCAAGCTGGAGAGATGTGGGCGACGTTCTCTTGCTGAGTCTGTGTTTTGCTGTTGCATCATGCAACTGGCACTGAAGCCGCGGCCATCAAACCGTAACCGTACGGAGGACTTTACGGCGATGCTTAGGAAGCCAGGGCTTCCGAAGACTCAGATCACTTCGAAGAAGGGCCTGCAGAGCAGGTCGCCTCGTCGGCCTCAACTACGAGCAGCTTCGCTTGCAAGCGGACTTCCGCTACAGTTGCCTGGCCTGTGAAGGGAGGCGCCCGAATTCCGTGTCCAAGTGTTGCAGTCGGAGAGTTGGAGAGGAGTGGGAGAAGGGTGGCAGCGTAGGATTTTCAGGCTTGGTGCACGTGCGGGACAATGCCGAAGCGATTGCTTTCTATGGCGGCGAGAAGCGTGAGGAGGGCGAGGCTGGTCGCAGTGGCGTTTCTCATCAGGTTCAGGGCCCGAACTCTTGGTCTAGCGACATAGATGGTGGACAGAGCGAAGACAAGGGTGATGCCGCAGATATCTGTGTTCGGCAGCAAACAAACATCGTAGAGCGAACGACGCGCAGAGAAGTGTCACAGGTTCCGAAGTCCTCCCGAGTCTTCGGCTTCTGATCCAAACAAAACCCAGAAGAAGCACTGACCCCCCCGCACCCTCCCTCCACCAACCAAAAAGGCCCCCTAAGCCTTAAACCCTGAATCATGCGCCAGGTCAAGGCGAAGCTGGGAGCGACCTTGTCGAATTACGACCAGCTGACCTTCGGCTACAAAACTGGTGGAGACTGGTTCAGCTCCCGTCTTGAGACACGATGTTTCGCCATGTTCCCGTGTTGAGTCACCCGACTTTGGTCCCATTATCTATCCCAGCTTGTGGCATCACGAAACTGCAGAGACACCGTCTTTTAGTGCGGCTGGATGGAAGCTGCCCGGCGCAAGTAGTGCTTAGCTCCCAGAATTCCGCAGCCAAGAAGCAAAGGATCATCTGGGAGACTGGGCTTTCTGCCTACCAGCAGGCCTTCCTGTCCCGTGGCATTGAGGAAATCTGAGTCCAGCGCTTGGCTTCCGGGGTTGCTGAGCTCCGACTGGTCGAGGCGTTCTTCTACCTGGCTCGCCTGGTGCCTTACTTCGTGCTCGGCGGTCTGTACTTCTCCGGTCAGGCAGTCGCCAGGGCTTCGGGCGACAGCTTGAAATTCTTTCAGATTTGTTCCGGAAAAGGCCAAGGTTAGGACCGGTTAGGATTTCGGAGGCCAGTGTTTCGGGAATCCTTTTCGATCCTCCCCGAAATCTCTTACAGCGACCGCTCTTGAGAGACCCTCTGCAAGTCTTTGTGGGCACGTCACTATCAAGTGCAGGAATGAACCGCGTCAGGATGAGTCATGTGGTGCACAGACCTTGTGCCTTCCTGGGCGGCCCGTGACTTTCTGGCGAGCCCGTGTTTTGTATAGTCTGGTTTACGGGGACGGTCATGCTTTTTAGGACCTCGAGAAGTTACGCTGTATTCGCAGCTATCAGTTTGAGAGGTTTTCTGCCGACAGGTTGAGGGTAGGATGTCAATCACCGAGTTCCGAAAAGCTCGTGCAACAGAGACACCAGCAAAAATCACACCTTGACTGCAAGGCTCATGTGTTTAGCCGGAGGAGTGCTTAGATGGGCAAGCATCGAAAACCTGTAGGAAGGTTCCACGGGCTTGACCCTGCCGTCCTCCTCCGTTGCCTCGGAGGTGGACTTTGGCACATTGGGTCAAGCACAGTTCGCTTTCAGCATGGTCGTGTGCTCGGCGGTTTGCAAAGCGAAGGGAGTGTGTGAGGAGTGTGAACTCAAAGAAGGGAGTCGGAGGCACAGGCGTCCGAATGCTATATGACATAAGGCAGTGTGCAGAGACAGAAGCACGTACATAGTTCTTGTAGGTTGCAGATGAACTCGAACGACGTGCAATCAATCGGTCAGGGTCGAGACCCCCGACACTGCAGGTTCTCAGCTCAGTCACCATCATCGTGTCGCGGATCCAGGACTAGCCGCACGGGCACAAAGAGCGCATCCCGACAGTGAACCGTCGGGACAGGACATCTCCCGCTTCTCGGCCGGGATCTCCCGCTTGGGAGCTTTTTGGGAGGTTCCGGCGCGCGAGTTTTGTTGCACCAGCAACGTGGCACGCTGCACACACTTGTGACTGTGGAGAGACTTCCAGCAAGCTGCCTTGAATGTGGCGCAGCTAGACCGTGTCGAGGGCGGGTTCGTGGTGGCCCAGCAAAAGGCTGGTCGCCTTGGCTGGGTGATTTCTCTTCTGTTTGGAAAGGCGCTGACGAAGCCCCCGGATGCAAAGGCGGCCGGGGCTCCCAGAGCTAAGACATCGCATCCAAACCTGTTTGGTGTCAGCTCTGCCTGCAACAGCCGGCCCCTCAACGATTAATAATATATCTATTGTTTTCTGAAGATCGAGCAGGCGCCTGGAGCCATCTTGCACGCTTCTAAGGCTCGGATCTCGACTCTGGAGGGTGCCGGGAGCTCAAGCAAGGGTCTGGTGTCGAATCCTGGTGCCTTCGTGACTTGCGCCATGTGGGGTTTTTAGTGGAACAAAACTAGGTGATTTATGGGATGAAAATGTAAAATGTAGCTGCGACATCGTCAGGTGTCAGACATATTTTGCTGGGGAAAGAGCAGGTCCAGAACACGTGCATTCTCTGAGCCCTGCTGCCTTGCTGCAGTCCGGCTTGCAATTGCAGAAGATGACGCTCTTCACTCCGGCGCGCTGGGATGGTTTGGGAGAGTTCAAAACCAGGGCCGAGGGAGCCCTTCAAGTCCAAGCCCTCGAGCACCAAAGTCGACAACTGTCGCAAACTTTCAAGTCGAAAGGAGCTGAGGGCCTTAAGAGGCAGGCTTCAGGATTTGTTTGGAGCCTCTGATCTCTCCTCTTAGACTCCGCCGAGCTCCCGGGAGGATGGCTCGCGGCTTCTGCTGAAGGATCTAGACATGGTCCTTGCAGAAGGCGCGAGTTGGAGGGCTGGGAGTGGAGGGCCTAGTCGCTGTGGCAGGCTTGTGCTGCAGTTCTGCAGCCCACGCAAGGAAGGAAAGACGGGGAAAGGAAGGAATCGGTTCATGCAAGGCTGGAAGGAAAGACGGAAGATGGAATCGATGCTGCAAAGTAACAGGACCCCAGAAAACAGAAGGACGCCCAGTCAATTCCACACACGTTAGTCTGTTGGGGTCGGGAAGGGCTTCGTTAGTTTTGCGCGATGAATCACGGTCCGTGTGGTTGAGACTCTTGGCTGGCTCGAGCCCTCTATCTTTCGACCTTTGCCGCCTTCAGGGCGACAGCGCCGGCTCCTGGTGGTCGGCAGCAGCGGTATCGGCAAGAGCTCGGTGCCCGCCGTGGCGGCTACGGCTGAGGGGTTCAGAGCCAGTGCTACAATCGTTTGGTAGTGCTTTCGTTATTCCTCAGACTCAGACGGTTCTTGTTATCGTTGCGGCCACAGTTAGTGCGAGTTTGTCATTGCTGACTTGCGAGACACGGGACGGACAGCTCAAGACAGGTACTGCGGGCAGTGGCCGGGCTCTGGAATAGAGGCGAAGGCGACGTCAAGAAAATCGTACAAGAGAAGAACTCCCAATTTTGAAGAAGCATCTTGTTTTCCGAGCGCAGCCCAGGTTTCGGTCTTCAGGGTTGATGCAAGTTGCTGGAGGGTTTGGGGTTTAGAGCAGAAGGCTCTGCTGTTGAGGAGTGTTTGCTGGCGCACAATCCAAGCCCGTGCTGAAAAGAGCAGAAGGTTTCTGTTGTTCCTGTTTCTCGCCTTCTGATCTCCCCATATCCGTTACAGTTCTTGTGTGGTTTCTAGTTTCCGGTTCCCGGGAGGCAATGAAGGCGTTGGAGGCCCTCCCCTAATTTCCGTTGCTGGTACGATTTCTGGGCCTGGAACCTCGATCCTTTCTTGGATCGTCAAGGACCCGCCCCTGTGAATTCCTGAACGCGTGGTGCAGGCACCATTGTGAGGCCACCGTCCGCTCAGATGCGGCATTCTCAGCAGAAGGATTGGGTCCGGTGTGCAGCAGGCGCGGTGCAGAGACGTTGTGTGCTCAGGCTCTTCCTGCCGCAGAGGCCCGGCGGCTCCTTTTTTGAGTGCCACTTTGCACGGCGGCACCGCCGTTTGAGGCCTTACATGCCCTTGGGAGATCTGCGAACTCAGCTGCTTTACCCATCAGCCTCGTGCTTGGCCTTCCGTGAAGAACGCGGTCAAATTTCGATGCATTCCAGCCGAGGAGGGCACGCTTGGCGATCACACAGATGTGGAGCTCGAAGATGTGTGTGGGACTTTGCTCCGGGTGGTGGCTCCACCGTGTGGTTTGGCAGGGCAGGGCGCCAAAACTGATGGCACCGGGGAATGATTTATTGACACATGCACGTCACTAGGGGCAATGTCCACCCGAATCAAGCCCCTGAGTCCTTAGCTTGAGCTGGAAATGAGGTGTTTGGTGTTTATGCGTGTTATGTGGTGCTTGGTGTTTATGTGTTATGAGACGTGTAGCATCGAGCCTTGCCACTTTGGTTCAAGAAGTGTCGGCCTGCACGCTGGCCATGGACCTCGAGATCTGCGAAGACGTCATTCGCCCTTTGGCGGACGAGGTCGCGAACAAGGTTCATAAGAGAGTCATCGGGCGTGCGCAGCCGGAGTCCCGGAATGAGGAGCCAGAGCCCTCCGACTCCATCGCCACGTTTCTGGCCCTGATGACTCCGGTAAGCGACGAAATCATCCGGTCTGCGGCGGCCTACCTGCCGCTTAGGAATTTCGGAGAGTGTCTGCGGAAGTCAGACCACGGGTGGTACCATCTCAGTGAACCTGCGGCGCAAATTGATACTTTCTGGAGCCATAGTTGGCATGGCAATGCCTTGTGCAAGATCCTCACGCTCTTGGTGATCTATAATTCCAGGCAGGCCATGGTCATAGCTTCTTTCGGTGCCCTTCTCGCTAGCTTCCTCTATGCTGGACAGCTTCTGCCGGGCTGGGATGTGGATGTTAACGATGCGCTCTCCAACTCTGTCTGGGCTCTGGTAGTTGGGACCGTCATCTACCTGCTGCTCTTGTTCGCAGGTCGACCCCGGGAGCGCGTCTTCTTGGACATCGTGTGCATCGACCAGAAAGACAGGGCCAGGAAGCGAGAGGGGACAAGGAGCATCTCGGCCTTCATCAAGCGCTCGAAGTCCATGATCGTGCTTTGGGACACCACATTCTCAAGGCGCATGTGGTGCCTCGGTAGCACGTCGTTCGCACGGATTCACGCATAAGCACCCTTTGCGAAAGGCTGCTCTTTAGTCTTTAGTAATGATGAAAACGGTTTAGCGAGAGCAAGCAAGGTGCATCTTCGAGCTTTCGGCATACCTTCACAGCCGGTCTCCCGATGAGGCCCCGCAGCTCACAATTCGGCCAACCATCTTCGGACCCACTTTCTTCTGCTTGACTGTTGGTATGGTGTTAGTACATGGTATAATCATGCTGTTTGAAGGTGCTGGCCTGATATTTGTGGAAGGTGTGGTGGTCTGTGTAGGCTTCTACACCTTCGTGCTCACCTGCCGGCATTACTTCCGGTCGCTTGAGGAGCTCCAGCACGAGCTTCACGATTTCACGGTGCAAAAGGCGACCTGCCAGTGCTGCAGTACTCCACATCGGGAAGGTTCAAACTGTGACAAAGGGATGCTTCTGGATTGCATCAGGTTGTGGTTTGGCAGCATTGAAGTTTTCGAAGAACGGGTGCGCAAGGACGTCTTGCTCTGCCTGATGGAACAGCTGTCTGGAGACTTTTTCTCATACAGGCAATGCATTGTGGCCTTGATTCCCGCCATGTGGTCTGGACTGGACTATGCGTCCGGTGCATGGCTGATGTGCACTCAGCTGATCGAGAGAGCAGGTCTGGATGGAGACGGATGCCCAGACCAACTGAGAGGTCCGCCGGACGCGTTTCTGGCGAACTGGCTCCTCAGGGCCGCCGTGTGGTGGCTCGGTGTGGTGCCTTCGATCCTACTCCTTGGGACGAAGGCTATGTACTACCTTCGAAAGAGATGTCGATTGAGATGTCTGGATGAGCTTGTCAACATGGCCATACTTGTATGGATGGCGGCGCTAGTCTTGGGAATGATCGAGTTGGAGATCTTGTGTTGGCGGCTTTCAGCCACTTTCCCAGTGGAGCCGATTAGTCTGCGGCGCTGGTGGTGTGGGATGGTCGTATTTGCATCAATTGTGCTGCCGTCTGCCTGGGTCTTGTTTGCCTTCTTCGGCATGCGTCGCAGTGTTGTCTTATACAAAGATCAGAGTTCTGCGGTGCCGACACTGACACCGGCTAAGCCGGATGAAACAGGACAGTGGGAGCAAGGCGCTGAATCGCAGATTCTGAAGCCATCGAAATGGTCTTTGTGAGATCTCAAGGGCGAGCTCTTGTGCAGATGGCTGCGAAAGTTGTCTTGGAGCACCTGACGAATCTATGCAACATGTTGAGGGTGTGAGGGGTAAAATTCTGGGTGTTGAGTTTGTGCAAAACCCGCCTATTCAGCCGGGCATCGTAACATCATGAAGCCGAAGCCGGCGAGAGGTGAGGGCGGTGTTCTTCAGTGGGTCAAGCGACAAACCTAAACCCGAGATGTGCCGAAACCCTACATGCCCTACATGTTTACTTCCGCCGGAATCTGTGCCTGCTTTTGCGGTTTACCTTGGTTTCAGTGAACTATTCACGGTGTAGATGGCATCCTGAGGCTGTGTTGTTGAACCTAGCTTAAAGGCAGTTTGGCTACGTATGCGCACACAAAGCACGTGCTTATATGTATAGCACACATGCATATGCATGGTTTAGAGACGTGTGCATACAAGGTACACCTGCACACACATGCTTCAAAAACATGTACGTAGACATGTATGTACATACACATGCATGTCTACGTTTGCTAAAACATTTCATATGTACGACATGCACACACAAGCATGTGCAAGCGTGCATGCACGCGCACACTGACACCTTTATGGCATGCGTACATACGTACTTACCTACAGTACCTACGTGCATATATATATATATACATATACACATACATATACAGACATGTGCGCACGTACATTTGATTTGGACTTTGAGACTTCAGCTCGCGGCGATGGTCCGATGTCCTCGTGTTGCTTGGCGCCTGGCTGCTGCCACAGCGGCTGCAGGGGCAAGTACGCTGGCGCCGGCATGCTGTGAGGAACGGAAGAAAGGCTTCCCGGAGCCAAGAGGGTTGACAGGATGTCTCAGGAGTTTCCGGCTTGACTGCTGGTAGCTGTTGAAGGTGGAGCCCTGTCTTGATTCTTTGTTCCTCATCCAAGAGGGCATGGTGGGTCTGGTCCATCTTTGCAGGCACCTAAGCCTTGACAGTTAATATCCACTAAAACCACATCTTGCAGTCCCTGCTGTCTCCCAACCTGACCATCCAAGGGGTCGTCTTCGTGGCGCCGGACATGCGGGGCGGCCGAGGACTTCGCAGTTCATTTCGGATGCTGGGCTTGGTGCTCATCGGGGCTCCTTTTGGGGTACTACATGCAGGTTTTCGTGTCAAGGTTAGCATAAGGGGCATCATATGGGGTGCCATGCCCTCCTCATTTTGCTCCCCTTCGGCAAATCTCAGCCTCCGAGCAAAAAGCAGATGAACGCTGTCCCGAAGCCGAGTTCCCCATTTTACGATGATGTGGGAGTTTCCGAAAATTAGGGGTAATAAGAAGGATCCTACTACTTAAGGTGCTATTTAAGTGTGCCCCATGTTCGGAAACTCCCATATCGCTTCTCTGCACCAAGTCACTAAGTCGTCATATGACATACATCACATCATGCTGTGCTCTGCGGTTTGACGATCTGTTGCATGCAAAACTGTACCCCATGCTACGCTGTAGGCCTGGGACGAAGATGTCGTCCTACACAGCTCGCAACCGCCGATTGAGCCATCCCTTCTAGTTGCTCATATACCAGAGATAGAGCCCTTACAGCACAACCCGCACTGAAAGGATCAGGGGACTTGGCAAGCAGGGTTTGCTACTGAGTCTGCAGACTTGGCCCGGGTTTTGCCGGTTGCAAGTGTCAACAAACAGGCATGGCTTTTTGCTCAGGGAAGCTGCACTTACTACTTAAGTATGACCCTAATGAGTGTATTTACAACCATATGAAGAGCCATACAAAAACACGCATTTTTGCCTTCATAATTGCAATAACACCAGACTTACCAAGTCAGAACAGCTACCCCAAAACGGATCCTCGGAGCTCAGTTCCGCAGGAAACCAAGGCCTCCGGGGCCTCCTCCTGGCTTTCCACGGCCAGGGGCTTCGGCACGCCGTTGAGGCACCTGAGTTTCAGGGATTCCGAGGGCCGTCTAGGGCCTTTAGATTCTGGGCTTCGGGCTTCCGGTCATCAGGGTTCTCTTGGCTGCGCTGTTGGGAATCTTTCACTGCCTTGCGGTTTCGGTGCGGGAGGTTCGGAGGAGCAGCACTCCGGGCGCTTGCTTCGTCGACCGCCGGATTCACGAGTACGTCGAGGACGTCGTTTGTTGTTCAGGATCCCACGCTTGAAAGCGCAGGTCCACAAGCCTACAGTGAGACTTGGTCAGCTTGGCGTGGGGGAAAGAAGCCAAAAGAGAGTCCAAAGCTATCCCAGAGCCCGAGTCTCCCAAGAGACCAGTTTTTCGGACCCAAGTCTCCTGAGAGCCATTTTGTTGGAAGTGGTTCCCAGGACGTCTTAAACTCGGGTGGCCGGGCGGCGAACCTCGAGAAGGCGAGCGGGAAATGTGGTGACTTCAGGCTTCGGGGCCTTCTGAGTCTGTTCGGGCTTGGTGATGTAAAGTTACCAGAAATCCTGAGCGAGAAGGAGCATGGGAGAAAGGAGCTCCAGCAAAATCGCAGCCGCTTGCTACTGCCGCACGGCCTTGGTTTTGCTAGCCGCTTGTTGCACTTTCGGGAAGGCGTTCTCCTACCGTTGCGTGGATGCACCAGGGCAGAGCTTGGCCTCTGGGCCGCAGGGTAGCAATAAAAGCTAACGGCAGTAACAATGCAAGTTTCAAGGCTACACAAGAAAGTCCATCACAGAGCTTGTCCGTGGTGTTTGCTTCCCCCTGGGCTTTGTTGCACATGACCTCACTCTGCGTCGATTTGCCACACTTGTGAAAAGAGTGTGGCTGCTGCACTACAGGCCGTTAGAGTGATCCGAGTGGTGATAATTGCCACCATAAGTCGCCGTGGATCTTCGAAATTTACTTCTGAGGAGGACGTGGACGTGGCCACTGCAGCTGCGAAAGTGCGAAGTG